AGTTGTATAAAAAAAAAAAAAAAAAAAAAAACCCAAAAGAGTCTAACATAGTTCTTTAAAACAGGGATTTATACTGTTAGGCAATCTAGCAGCAAAATTGGATGGTGGATTGCCTGGGTAAATAAAGAAAATGGCATTTATGTTGCCCCATGTCCTCAGGGCATGAGGGACAAGTCAAATAGCTTCCCAGTTCTAAAGTCTATGAAAACACAGCAGAATCCAGAATTCTTAAGTCTTGGAAGGGCCGATGTTTCATGAGTATCCCATTACTAATGGCAGCCAGAACCTGCAAACATGCAAGCACAGCACAGCACCAAAATACAAAGTGCAAGACAAAATGCAGCCGGTAGTTCAGTTTCTTGAGACAGCCCTCTTGAAAGAGCTGTGCTGACTGGTTCACATCACCAATGCAGTGCAAAGTCTCTTTACAACAGCTCTCAGGGACACATATGCTTCTAGCTTGGAGATGACATGATGCTGGAAGTGCTGCCTTCACCCAGTCAGTGTAGTTGTATACCCCACAGCACTGCAGCTGTTTCTGAATTGAATCCACAGCCCTGTTGCTAGGATGATGGGAGTGCATCCCATTGTATTGAAGAAAAAGGTGCCCCATGGTGCCCTTCAGTTCAGATCCCATCTTGTCAGGATAGATATATGCCAGCATAGCTACAGAAGCTTCCAGACAGAGAAGAACAACAAGCAAGTACATGAAAGTCCCCTGTTGATAGCGAGAATTCCTAGCAGGGATGCCAATGGCCAAGGCACCAGTGGGGAGCAAGAGAAAAGCAGCCACAACAGCCAGCCAGCCTGGCAGAAGCAGGAAACAGTTCTGAAAGAACCACCTGTAGTTCTTGTATGTAAGGATCACAAAAGCTCCACCAAAGGCCAGAGCTGCAGCAGCCCCCCACAAAACTAGACCAAGTAGCATCAACAGCACCCTAGCAAGGGGTCTAATCCAAGAATCCATGGTGCAGTAGAGAGGCAGAAAACTGGGAGTAAATCTTCTTCCCCTACCCTTCATTCTTCATGCAGCTCCTCCTACTACTAGGAGAGCTTCAGCTGCCATTTGAGAAGCCTCCATCCACCTCTCCAGCTGCAGCAGATAGGGTTTCCACCTGGGATCAATTGAGGGGACAAAGCAAATGACAAGATGAACACTAATACAGCTGCCCAGGACAGACCCCATACTACTTCAGGCATGCGTGTCATCTTTCCAATGGAGTTTGCATAAATATAAGAAGTGGACGTGGCATTTGTTACTGAAACTCTATTTGTTTTGCTGCCTGTAGAGGTATTTCTATTTGAAGCATGCAGCATGGAGCAGAAAGGCAATACTAACTCTAGAACCTACAGACCTACACCATCTCTGTAAATCAGGGCTAAGCTAAAGGAAGATACAACTGGGTCACACTGAAGGCTTATTCAGTCACTACCTGTCAGGAACCCTTGGACCTTTCAAGTTAGATGCTAGTGAAAAAGCTAGATCAATCATGTAATCTCACACTTAGGCTTTCATCAGAATCCAAGTTACTATGGTTTAGGAGGGAACAGTTTAAACAGACAGTTCTATTAAATAGGCATTTCCTCCCCCACCTCATCTTTCTTTCTGAGTTTATATGTTTCCCATGTTTAGTCCTGATGCAGGGTAGACGTAACACTGATAAAACTTTGACTCCTGCCTGTGTATTGAAAATCAGATTTGTAACCTAAGGGAAAAACCACTCCTGTGAACACATTTAAACATGCTAAAATGGCTGTAGCTGTATGCTAAAGGACTAGTCTTCTTTTTTTTAATCTCTACTTCATGTATTGAGAAGCTAAATTGTGACAGACTAAATGACTTGGTCACTGTCACAAAAGGAGTCAGTGTCACTTATTTACAGGTTAAGCAGAATTGATCCTTGAGTGTATACAATATGGAATGAGACAAGTGTTTGAGGTCTAGTGGTTAGATGCATAGTCTGGTGATTAGGTCCCCAGGGATAGAAGTACCTAAATTCAAATCCTACTTCTCCCCAGTGACTCCCTCAGTGTTATTGACCAAGTCATGCAATCTCCCCTCTTTCATTTCCTGGTAAATAGAATGAGAATAGTCATATTTATCTGACAGGAGAAGAGAAGGGGACTAATGTCCAGACTGTGTGAGATCCTGAGTGCCAACACAACCGACTGATACCAGTAAGGACTGCAGGTGCGTGGAACCTCTGAAAATCTGAGTAGAACTGATTGGCTACCAATGAGGGCATCATCTGGATATGCAATCATGTATATACACATAGAGTGGGCTGATCCCTATTAAAATGCTTTTTCTGTGTGCTGCACAAACATATCATTACAGCTAATTATTGTGGAATGAGATGTATTGCTTTTATCAGTTTTAATCCTCACCATTTACAGTAATTAACATACAGTGATTGACTTCTTCAAGCTTAAGCAAATGCTTATTTTGAAACAGGACTCAAATAGGTTTCCCTGCAATTTCTGGTTGAACTCCACTCCTTCCCCATTACCCTACCCCCATCAGGCAGAGTTGTGCTGTTTTAAGTGGCACTGTGTTTTCATGCGCAGTGTCATTTTTTCTGATTGCTGTTGTCCATGCCTCCAGGGAGGGGAGAGAAAGGAACACCGCCACTACCACCTTTTGCTGATTTAATGCTTCCATGAAGCAGAAGAGACACATCACAAAAAGTATTATAAACTGTCTCTAAGTCTAATGGCAAGCTGGCTGTTTATTGCTGTTTTGTAGGCTTTGTGCAAAGAGCCCACAGTGCTGCCTCTTCTTTTCTGTTTTTTTTCTTTTCCGTCCCCCCATGCTCATAAAACTTAATGAGATATTAAGAATTGAGTTACAGCACTTTTTTATTTTTAGCTTATTCTGCAAGCTTTGAAATACATTAGGCCAGCTCAAACTGCCTGCAGGAAAATTTTACAGCACCTCCAGGTTGCTTCAACCTGGGTAACTGCCATTACATCTGAATATACAGGAGGGAATTTCACTGGTTATTGAGGCCTAGAGGCTCCTGTCTTTCTAAATATTCCCCGATATATAATTTCCCATTTACTTTAATCTGACTCTTTGGACCTCATAAACACAGAAAAATGTTATTTGTCTCCTTTTGTAAACCATCCAAATGTCTAAGCACTTTCAGGCCTTTTTATTTTCAGGCCTTCATCTTTATTCCCATTCCTGGAGAGAGAGCACAAAAGGGTTTTACTGATGTAGACCCTGATCCTGCAACAGGTTCAGCACAGCTCCGTGTATCCTTACAACCACATGCAATGCTTTTGAACTAGCGGGCCTCCTTGCATATGGGCCCTTAGCAGTAAAACAGACTTGCAAAAGGATCTACATGTCTTTTTGGTTTGTCCTTTAGACAAGTATGGATCACGTGGTGTCACCAAAAGAGAAACAAAGCCATCCTCCCCAGAAGTAACCAATAGCCTGGTGCTAAGTAATACAAAGAAATTGCAAGAACCATTGACATCAGTGGGACCTGAAGGTGTTCAGAAGCTCACTAGAGATGATTACTACATGATAGAATGATTAATAATCATACTGCAGTGCAGTAAGCTTTAGAGCCCTCCCTCAACACCAGATTCTCTTGCTACCACAAAGAGTGAGTCCCAGCTACAAAAAGTTTACAATCTAAATAGATAAGGCAGAAAAGGGGAAGAAAAAAGGAAGTACTGGGCTCTTAATACTCTAAAATGCTTAATGGCCACCCTTTATAGGTTCCATTTTGTGTGTAAAGGAGTTTATAAGGGCACATCCAGCAAAAATAATTGCAAGGCAATTAATGAAGGTATCAATCAAAGCAATGATTTGATAGAGAGAATATGGATTAACTAAATAGGAATGCTCTTCTGGTTTCTTTCTAGTGACAAAGTGGTATAACATGATAAATGTGGTCCCTGCTTTCTCTGGGGTTGTTTCTGCATGTGAAGTGATGGGTAATGAAATTCAAATGCAAATTTAACAGCCAATACATCTTAGATAAAATATTTTCTGATACATTGCTGAAAGCATAATTCTTCAAGTTAATAAAGCACCAGGCACATGCTTTTTGCATTATTATTGTACAAAACCAAGTTTAATAATAAATTGCTTTGATGAGAATAAGGGGTCAAACAGTCTTATCCCATAGTGAAATGGAGGGTGGGATTCATGGCACCCTAAATTCAGTGCATGAGGCTGTAATAAATTGATATGCAGACAGATGATTGGATTCATTTTACATGACATGAGCTGTCGTGCACAGAGATCAGGAGCCTGTCAGATCCCTTGATTTGCCAGATAGCAACTGATGCAAAGTTGCTAGTTTCTTCATCATGAATTATGAAATGTCTGGAAACAGAACCTAGAAAGGATCACTGCATAGTAAGAAACAACTAACTAAAGCATTGTAGAAAACCTAGTGTAGAAGGAGACTGGACCACAAAACCTATCCCTTGCCTAGTAACAATTGCTGTGTGTATCAGCAGTGTAGCACAAAAGCAGGCAAGGTTCTTTGGGTAGATGTAATATCTTTTATTAGATCAGCTTTTATTAGACTCAGCTGGTCTAATAAAAGATACCACATCTACCCAAAAAACCTTGCCTGCCTAGGTCCTCAGACCAACACAGCTACAACCAAAAACCAGGTAGCACAAAAGGAAACTTAGTGTTGTCTAAAAACAGCACCTGAAGATTCCCCCAAATCCTCGGCAGACATTAGGCAGTAATACCCAGAGCTCTAAGCCAATTGCACAACTTTGGTGTTGGGCTGTTCTAGGTCAGGGTAGACAGAGAGCGGGGGTTAGAAAACAATGCCCTTGGGTAGTCCTCACTGATGAGACAACTACTGCCCTGAAGATGCCATAACCTCTGCTGGTTCAATTTAGCATCTGCCAGGATTAAGGGTAGAATGGGTGCATGACTACATCTTTTTCAGGCTGCAGAAATAGTCCTGGCTGGCTGTGAGAAGACACTGAATAAACTATGACATTTCAGATGTCCATGAGCCCTTTAAGCATTGTGCCATCTAATACACACAACGCTAAATAACATGGGAAAAGCAGTCAGGACCCATTGCTGCATTGCTTGCTCGTTGAAGATTTTTTTTTTTTAAAGAAAACATAGCTGATAAGAATTCTATAGGCTTTTTTTGAATAAAAAATGTAACTTTTGAGATCTGCCATATTTCAAGGTCACCCTGGCGGCCTGAGTTTGCAAGGATGAACAAACATGGCTGATCCCTGATCCCAGAGCTGATACCATACAGGACTGGTTGCCTTAGTAACCAAGGTCAGATGCTGTGTTCTCACAGGGACTGCTATTTTTTTTCCAGGGGATGCCTGAAGCAAACAAAAGGAGCATGATTGCCATCTCCTATTGAGAAAAAAAATGCTTTTTCCACAAGTACTCATTTGTAAGGAAGCAAACATTGCAACTAGAGAACGTAACTTGTTTGTGCTTAAAACTTTTCTGACAAAATATGGCCTTTTAGGAACTGAAAACTTCACTAAGTAGTTCAAATATTTATTTTTCTTTCCAGTTTTCATTGAAATTAAAATATGTGACATCTTGAATATCAGAAGTTTAATTTTTGTGTATTTATTTTAATTATATCCTCCTCATCCCTCCTTTTTACCACAGACTAAAATAGCACGCATGATGTCTGGGGATTCTTTTTTTCCCCTTTTGCCAACAGTTATAAACTTCCCCAAGTTTTGAAAGCATGGCAAGTAACAAAAAGAAAAAGGAAACCTTGTGGCTCTGCAAAAGCTGACAAAATATCGAACAAAAGAAAGGGAAAAAAATAACTTTTTAAATTTGGGAGAAAAATGTTTTCTGGAAATTTTCCAAAAAAAGGAAACCTTGTCTGTTTAGAACCCTGCAAAACATAAGTTAATTTGATGTTTCAATTTATTTCTAAAGCTCTTTTTGGCATTTTTCAACAAGACATAATTGCAACATTTTTAAGTGGCTATGGGATCCCTATATTTCACACAGGGTGGAAGATTTTAAGTGCTGTAGACAATTCTAAAAA